CTTTTGAGCATGTGATGTATATCAGGCCAGAGGTTAGGGATGCAGCATCTGAACAAAAACAGGCACAGTATCTGTCCTCATGGGTCTGATAGTCCAGGGGGCCCTCCACTGGTAACATGTAATTAGAAGCTGTGCTAACCACAAGTGTTGCCTGGGAAGCTCTGAATAAGAGAGAATGGTTTAGTCCTTAGAGTCTAAAAAACACAGATGAGTTGTTTGTCCACATTCATCACCCCAGCTTGCTGGGGAATCTGGAAGAGAAAGACCTGGCCCTCCCTGCCACACTGCCCTCCCCCTATGCTCCAGGCCCCACTCCCAGGGAAGCCAGCGTGACTTAGAGCCTAGTCAGCAACGTGGTGTAACGGAGGCACATTTGTCAAAGCCTGCTGCTGCGGTGATCTCCATAAAAGATGGAGATGGTGCTGCTGTGCATGTGTGAGCACCCATGTCTCCACAGGGTAGAGCATTAAGCCCACAGTAAGATTTGTGTGCTACATCTGAGTAATGAGCCATGAAATTGACATTATAAGTTTTAATTATTATTAATGCCTTGCAGGGGTTGCTGGTGTTAATTATCCTGTAGGCATCCCAGATGCATTTCCATTTTCCTTTTATTTCTTTTCCTTAATGTCTTGAGCCCATAGAATGCTGGCTCAGTGACAACGTTTGAATAGGATTCCTCCAAAGGGAAGCACACAGTTGAAAGGTTATAAGGAGCAGAGAGGAAATGGCCACACAGAAACCCACTCAATTTCCTTGGCCTGGGAGAGTCCTCGCGGGTGCTGCCTCCAGGCCCTGTCATGGACTAATTAGTTAATCTTATAAAGAGCTTTGAAGATGAAAGGCGCCTTGGAGGTCTGAGAGTCCTAACAGTGAGAACCAGCAGGTTCCCACTGCTCTGTCCCCCTGAATAAACCTCCTCTTGGTACCATCCCTGACTTTTATTGTTGCCCTCAGAAATGTGTCCTGTGTCTCAGTTTTGCTCCCTTAGGTGCTGATCTTTGGCAGCCTGGGGAGGGGATTCTTAGATGGGCTCTCTCTCCCACTTCCCTTCTCTATGGCTCTCTCTTTCCCCTCTCCCTCTCCTTGACCACCCATGGGCGCACACCGGAGCATGGCTGAGCCAGCCAGGCTGTGCTGTGTGCTCTGAGCCCCATGATCTGACCTCAGGTCATCAGGTGGTTGGCCCTGACTGGGCCTCCACTGCAGCCATGGTGAGGATGTGTGTAGACCACTCCTGCCCTGCTTCTGTGGCTTCAGATGCCTCTGGCCCCTCTGTTTCCCTGATTCACCCACTAGAACAACTGTTCTTTTGCTCCTCCGCGCAGAGCTGGGATCGGCACCCTTATCCTGGATCTCTGTGAGGCATGCTGGTTTACAAGTGGTGCCATGTCAGATCTGTCTGTCATTTCTGACTTTCCCCACTTCTGGTCCTCATCCAGTCCCTATCTCAGGAATAAACTGAGCCTAGTTAAATGAACAGACATGCATGGGATACCTGCCATGTGCCAGGAACTTTCCTATCCTGAGGCCTCGGTTTAATAGTGGCTAGGGGTGTGATGGAGTAGAGGCTCCCAGACATTGGAGAGCACAGCCTGCTGCCTCTGGGTTTGGGAGGGAGAGTCTGGAGCCAAGGAGAGAGAAGCTCCAGATCTTCCAGAAGCATGTGCTGTTTGTGTGCAAGGATGCTGGCCCCATGGCTGGCACAGGGAGTAGGGAAGAGCATCGGGGGCTGTGGCTGGAAGCTGTGTTGAGGCCAGTGTCGGGGCATCCTGAATGCCATGCCGAGGAGCTTGGTGCCCCTTCCTCAGGGTAGTAGGTAGCCCCTGAAAGCTCATGAGCCCCAGGGTGACAGGATCAGCTCTGTTTGGGCATCTAGCCTCACAGTAGGCTGCCTGGGGCCAGGGACTTGCTGCTGGAGGTTTGCAGTGGTATAGGTGAGAGAGAGGAAGGACCCAGCCATGGGGGTAGAGGCATGCCTGGTGCCTCCCTGAGAGCCTTCCAGTGGGGTCAGTAGAATTTGAGGACTAGTGCTAAAGTCCTTCTCCCTAAAGGGAGAAGATGGGCACACGGGGTGGGGGTGGGGGACAGGGTACAGGACTGGAAGTGGGCCAGCAGTCCCTGACCAGAGTGAGGAATGCAGGGAGTGTAGGCTCCAGGGACAGCCATGGGATGTCCATTTTGAGAAGTCAAGTAAGCAATTAGATTGGAACTAAGTTCCCTTGGAACTTGGAAGAGAAGTTGAAAGCACAGAGAGAGGCAGGTAGATCTGGGCCGTGAAAGGCATTGGGCTGACCAGGAGGTCTGGGGTCACAGTGCCCAGATAGATGGGGCCATGCCGATTTTAGAGAGTCCTTGAGAGACCAGGGCCCCTGGACATCAGCAGTACATTCCTTACACAGCCAAAAAGACACACTACTCACAAACACCAGGCCTGGAGCCAGGCCACCTAGGTGAGAACAGCCTCAGGTTCTTGTCACTACTCCCAGGCCCTTCCGTGCATCCCAGGCAGGTTGGGGCCAGGATTGTACAGCATGCATGAGCAGTGTTTGTTTCAACTGAGTGGTAGAGCTGGTCGTAAGCGGGCCAGAGTGTGGATGCTGGCGTCCCCTGTGCATGGGGAGGACGGAGAGCTGTGCATGTTCAAACAGCATGGCGGTGCACAGATGGAGGTACAGCCCATAGAAACAAAAGTGTGTATCTGGCCGTTCTTGCTTTTCTTCATTATCAAGAGTAGCAAAAATGACCAGCAACCTCAGTGTGTGTGGCTCTCCAAATACTGCTTTTGAGCACTGCCCTCTTAGTCGGCGGGGAGGGGGGGCGGGGGGTGGTGGTGAAAGGAAACAGAGTCTGCGGCAAAGTGAAGGTTTCTTTTCTGCACTGAACTGAGGCCCATTTTCAAGTGTGACTGTGGGTTCTCTCCTTACTGCCCCTTTAACACCTCTTACCTCTCAGTGGGTATCTCAGCTTCTCCATGTGCTCAATAGTGAACAGACTCCTGTCATGGAAATCAATGTAATATTTAACTTTTAAAGTTGTGATGGACTAAGTTTAAATAGAACAAGAAAACTACTCTGTCTTTTTGTAAATTTAACCTCACGGGTTGCGGCAGGGATTCTGGGAGGGGTAATTATTTGCTGTCGGGGCTGCCCTGTGCTTGTAGGACGTTTAGCCTCCTCTCTGGCCTCTACACATTAGATGCCAATAGCACCCCACCTCCCAGTTGTGACAACCAAAAATGTCTTTACATGTTGCCACATGTTCCCCAGGGGGACAAAACTGTCCCCAGTTGATGACCCCTGGGCCAGGGGATGACTGGCCTTTGTGTGGCAGTGAGGTTCTTCTGGTGATTCACAGCCAGTAGCCCTTTCCATTCTTGTCTCATCACAGTACTTGTGCTGCAAATCACCCCTTTGCTTCAGCCCTGTGAAATCGGGGCCTGTTATGGGCTATTGTGCTTAGAGTACAAAGCTAGCCAGGATGAGTATTATTGGAAGCAAACTGATTTTTTTTCCCCTCATTGAGTTCTGCAACGAAAAATCCTCTGGTGTTACTGTTTAATTGGTTAGTGGTGGCTGTTTGTCAATTTGCCAGCAGGTTCTCTCTTAACTGCTGTCATTTGACATCGCTGAAACATAAATGCAGAGTGATTGAGTTGCCAACATGCTATTAAGTCCCCTACAAAGAGCTTTTCGATGTACTACTGCTTCAGGCTTTTGTGGTTCTATTGATTGATTCGAATACTAAAGAAATCCTTGGCATAGACAGCCCTGGTAAGAAAATGCGGCTTCTGTCAGGGAAATTGTTGGGTATTGACACAGGGACAGTGGTGGGTTTTCCTTTGGTTTTCCTCTGGCAGAGACTTGGCTTCTGGAAGAGCTTACTCAGTTGATGGGTGTTGCCTGCCCACACAGAAGGGTAGTCACTGGTCTTTATGAGACAGGTCCGGTTAAGTTGGAAGACCCCAGGAAGTGGATGGTGACATCGAGTTCAAGTTTCAGGGTAGTTTGACTGACTCCTTATTTCAGAGGAGCAAAAGATTGCCACAAATTCATTTTGGCTTCAGAGCCTGTAACTCACCATTTAAGGACAAAGATGGCAGATCACTTTTGAAATGGTTGGTTCATCTTTGACAGGATGACAAGAACATCCCTTGACATTAAGAAGATACTGTTTTATGGTCTTGAAATTGTACTTCTGGACCAGACTGCCATATGCATCAAAAAGCTATTTGTCATTGGTGTGTGTATAGGGCCGGGGCAGGGATGTTTGTGACAGCCAGGGAGCACTTGTTAGAACTTCTAGTGCATGAGGGACCAATGTCCCAGGGTTGGCCTCCACCTTCCATGGCCAGACTGTCCCTCTGGGCTTGACGTCACAGGTGTATGCCATTGGTTGTAAGGCTGTGAGTGGGAAAGTCCCACAGTCAGTGTGGGTCCGTCCCCTTGACCCGGGAACCCCCTTGACACATATTCTGAGTTGTGAAGGTTCAGAGGTGCAGTCTGGAAAATCTTATTGGACAATAATTGTTGGAAGTCTGGCAGCTAGAAATAGCACTCAGTGGAGGACAGTTCAACATAGAGTAGTAGATGAGAATATTCCAGAGCCAGCCACCTGAGTGGGAATTCTGCAACCCTTACGGAGGTGAGGTTTTGAGCCAGTTATCTTCTCTCTCTCTGTGCCTCAGTTCCCTCACCTGTAATTGATGACAATTTAGCTCCTCCTTCAGAGTTCTTTTTGGCAGAGTGAGTTAGTTCCTGTGGAAGGCCCCCCTCTCATGTGTACTATTTGAGGGGGGACTGCCATTACAGGGACCATCTTGTCTTGGCAGGACCATGGGCTTGAGTATTCCCATACAGGGCATCTGTTCCTTTGAAGTACTTCCCACTCTAGAGCATTCTATATGTGCCCACACTGCATGGGAGCCCCTAACCTAGGCAGATCTAACCTGGCAGCAGGAAGGCCACGTTGAGTAACCAGATGCTATGTTTTGCTTTCAGACTCTTTCCCAGCTTCCCTATGGGAAAGCTCTCTACAGTTATGAGGGGAAAGAACCCGGCGACCTCAAGTTCAGCAAGGGCGACATCATCATCCTGCGGCGCAGGGTGGATGAGCACTGGTACCATGGGGAGCTGCACGGGGCTCATGGCTTCCTGCCCGCCAGCTACATCCAGTGCATCCGGCCCTTGCCACAGACCCCGCCCCAGGGCAAAGCACTTTATGATTTCGAGATGAAGGACAGAGACCAGGACAAGGACTGTTTGACCTTCACCAAGGTAAGGGAGGTCTCTGTGAACACTGCCACCCACCCTTCTCAATTCCCACCTTTCTGCTGATTTGAATTCTGGCTCCTTCCCGAGACACACTCTCTCTGCTGTGCCTCTGTAAGTGGGGAGAACAGTTGTTCCTACTTCCCGAGTTTTTGTTCAGTGGAAAGAGATGGCACGCAGCCTGATAGGTAGCTCCATCTGAGAGCTGACAGGGGGCTCTCTGGGTAACAGACACAGGACCCTCTGTCACCTGAGTCATGGTGTCTCAGTGACAACTCAGGTACAAAGGCATGAAGTCTCTCCAGGACTTGCAGGCCCTGGGAGAGGAGGCTTATCAAGGAAGGCTGCTGCAGAGATCCCTTTTGGCTCACAGGAACGTGGTGGTAGGACCTGGAAACCAGCATGCCACAGCTGCATCCTCTGGAGTACCAGAGGGCAGGTGAGCAGGTGTGCTTAGGGCCAGGATTGTCTTGGAGAGAGGGACTCTGGTTGGTGACAAACTAAATAGCATTTACCAGCAGGATTGTCCTAGCAGTGAGATGCGGAGGGGCCTGGTTGTTAGTCATCCCTGGTCTCTGAGGTTGTAAAGCATAGAGAGACCTGAGGTGGGGCCCTCTACACCTTGATGTTCCCTTCCCAACCACAACTGACAAGCTCCATTCTCATCTGTGGGCATGCCTCCTTTCTTGTTTTCACTCTTACACATACTCCTCTCTGTGCTGGGCAAGCAGGGACTCCTAAAGCACTTATTTCTACCCAATGTCAATAATAGCAGTTGCTCTTTACAGCTTTCCCAGCACGCTTCTGCTGTATCTCAACTGCAAGGTGGTTGGAGCCAATCTTGCTGATGTTGGAACCAAAGCTCCATGAGACTGAATGTCACTCACCTGAGGATGGTGGCCTGGGCCTCTCCTTCTGCTTTCTGTGTTCTGTTTCCCATCTGTCCTGCTTCCCTCCCTCCACCCTAACCTTGTGAGTGTGTACACAGTTGTAAATAGCAGCTAGAACTATGAATCTTTGACTTTAAAGCCCACGTCCTTCCCACTTCTGAGAGGCCATTGTTATTTTCTTTCTCCCCATCTGCTTGGTACAGAACTTGGCTGTGGTACTGAGCTCTCTGGAGGGCTGCTGGAGTGCTGTGCACACCATTTTTGAGCAAAATTGGCATGTCCTGTGCATGGCTGCTATTTATGTCTTGTTCCATTGTTCAGACTGACAGTGAATAATCTATTTTTCATTCACGGATTCAACTCTTTCTTCCTTTCTTTCATCAAGGTGTTCTAATGTTAATTCTGATTGTCATCTGGCTGATGCAGCTTCCTGGGAAGCTGTATCCAGACCTTTTTCCCCCTCTCCCTCCTTCTCTCCCTCTCCATCCATCTCAGTCTGAGACCTAGAGTGGCAGGCTGTCTGGAGTGCAATGGCAGACAGAGCCCCCGCTTTGCTCACTTCTCTGCCCAGTGGACTCTGGACAACGTGCCCAAGGAGGAGAATGCCCTGGAGGCCTGTGATGCTCTGTACTCTCACTAGTGACCACGAGTAGGGACCCCCCTCAACCTCTTAGGTTCTTGTTGGGCTTTGCTAAGGAGACAGACTCTGTTACAGCTCTAGGCTTCTCTGAGCTCAGCTTGCTCCAGGGACAGACACAGCCATCCTTACAGAATAACATTAGAGGAGGCTATTTGAGCTAGGAGAGATCAATTTTCATTGACCTCTGCAGAGCCCTAAAGCCCCCAGCCTCCTTTGATGTGAGCAAAGGCCTACCTTCACACCACCATCATAACTTGCTGTGTTCAATGAGCCTCTGCCTGGGACACTTGACTCCAGGGTGAATACCAGAGCCCACTGCACAAGAGGATAGGCATTTGCCCACCTATCAACAAGATGTGTCAGCCTCCAACTCTGCAGGGCACTGTGCTATACCCAGGGGACACAGACAGACCCGCTGCCCTCTAGAGCCTCAAGTGTAGTGGAAGAGGCAGGCAGTAGCAAGTCAAGAAATACGTGTTCAAAAGTCAGCCTCAGAGAGCAATGCTGGTAACCCAGGAGCCAGACTAGGTATTTAGTGAAGTCTCCAAAATATTCAATGATAGAGCTTAATGTTTGGTATTTCAAAAGAAATAGTAAAGTGTAGTCCTCATGGGGAAAATTAGAACTCAGGCCTCCTTAGACTCATTCTGTGGTTGGCACTGTTCTTAGTTATGATGATTGTGTCTGGGGTGTGAGCAGGCATCACTGTTGAGGTAGCTGCTGTGAGGGCTTCTGGGAAGATGATATTTGAGTTGAGATTGAGGAGCAAAGGTGCTAGGAACAAGAGGGTCTGGGGGTCTCTGGCTACATAATGTGATGCTGGCCCCATAGGAAGCCAAGCACTCAGGGTGTTTTTCATGGGCTTTTATCCCTTGGATCCTGCGGATTAAGGTGGACAGTTAAAGATACCCAGGCATGACTCCCAACGAAAATTGTTCTGTGACATCCACCCCCTACTATGTTCACATAACCTTTTCAGGAACCCCCACTTTTGCCCTCCTACTTGGATTAGGGCACAACCACGCCTACCAAGTACCTGTTCTATTTGCAGCTCTCACCTCTAAACGTCTTCAGACAAAGCCTCCGAAGGACATGGGTGATGAATCATGACTCTCTTCTACTCAGTTCATATTTCCTCTTACCCACACTGCTTGCCTGACATTTTCCTTCCATGTGCATCTGACCAGCTCATTTTTTCCCATGCCCAGGATGCTGGTTCCATTTCTGACAGCCTCCGTTCATATCACACCTCAAGTAACTCAGGGCTTGGCGTCCTCTGGGCTTGGCGTCGCTGCTTCAGACCAGTTTGGTTTTGCCTGCATGGAATGCTTTGTTGTTTGCGTGTGTTCCCCTCTGCAGTCAGCAAAGAAAGTGGGGTCTCTAAAATCCATGGATGGTGCTAGCTTACTTTTCAAAAGCATCATTGTGATGGGATTGGTTGGGTTTTAAAAGGCAGGAAGCAGCTGGATCAAAATATTTTCACCCTCGGCGTTGGCTTTTGAACAGTCCTGTTAAAATTGCATTAATTAAAGTCATTTAAAACCAAAGTCCTTGTTTCATTTAAGAAGAAAATGAGGGGCGCCTGGGTGGCGCAGTCGGTTAAGCGTCCGACTTCAGCCAGGTCACGATCTCGCGGTCCGTGAGTTCGAGCCCCGCGTCAGGCTCTGGGCTGATGGCTTGGAGCCTGGAGCCTGTTTCCGATTCTGTGTCTCCCTCTCTCTCTGCCCCTCCCCCATTCATGCTCTGTCTCTCTCTGTCCCAAAAATAAATAAACGTTGAAAAAAAAAATTTTTTTAAAAAAGAAGAAAATGAATAATTACCTTTTGTAAATCAGCTATAAAAAGCATATTTGATAACTTCTTAGTAGTCTCACTCCAAAAAGCTGGGCACGTGCAAATAGAGACTAAAGGAAAGAAGTGCACTGTGCCCAGCGAAGCTCTGCTGGCTGCTCTCTTCCAAGCTCTCATGTGAGGCTTTAATGCGTGCTGCCCTCCACGTGCACAGAGAGGTAATGGGTTTGCTGGGGAGGCAAGCTGGGTGCAGGGATCCCACACCTGGTGCACCCTTGGTGCAATTAGGGATCCCACGTGTGACCTTAGGAAAACACTCAACCTTGCTGGGCCACTTCATCTTCAGGGCCAGGACACAGATACCTACAGGGGGCTGCTGAGGGCTAAGTGATCTAAGTAAAGAGCTAAGCTTAGGGCAGCAGACAAGAGGAGACCTTGAACTCCTTTCTTTTTATGGAAGCTTACTCCATATTACCTTATTTTCAGTCAACTGCAAAATTCAGCAAATATGCATGGAGCCCTGACTATGCTATGTAAATTCCAGTTTACATGAGAACATTTTCCTCACCCTACCAGGGAGCTGTGCTGGATGTAAAGGGCCTGGGGCTGCCCTTTGGTGAATTCACTCTGTAATGCTCAGGAATCCTGAGAGGCCGTGAGATTTTCTCAGGTGGTGCCTGGCTGACCCCAGAGTCACTTTTGCACCCGGCTTACAGCGGGAACTTGAGGTTCTCTGTGTTGGACCAAACCCCATAGTGGGTGTGGCCACATGAGGCCACAGGACAATGGACAAGGGAACAGTTCCCTTCCATGCCTCATCTCACACCCTCCTCTAGGGCCTCAGGGATGCTCTGAGTTGGCAAAGAGTTGTGTAAAACACTGCCACACTGTTGAGGTCACCACAAGACCCTTCCATATGATCTTATTCTGCTGAATATTTAATCATCACTTCCCAAAAGTGTGGGACTTCTCTTTTATGAGAATGAACCCAGCATTAATCCTAAACTGTGTTCTTCTGATACAGGAGATAGGCTTAGATAAAAATTAAGTGTAGAAAGTTTGGGCTGTAAAGTCAGGTAAACAAGGATACAAATCATAACACTTTTTTATTATTACATGGTAGCTTTGGGACATTTGCTTAGTCTGTGAGTCTCCTTTTTTAACTGTACAGTGGAGTTGATAATAGGATTCAATGAGCAAAGGCATTAGAGAACTGAGCTCAAAATAGGCATTCGATAAATATTTGCTTTCTGTGCTCTGCTTACTCCCGTTTCAGGAAAAGGTGAAGTTTGGTCAGATACTTATCACTTTCTATGTTAGCCCAGAATGCGCACAGGAGAAAAAAACACCCTAAGACACACACTACTTGGAAAGCTGAGAATTTGTCTAGTGGGTTAGACACTTATATTTTGGTGACTCAATCTCAAGGGGGTGTGAAATCTCGGCCCTGGGTCAAGACTGCTGTCCCCATTGCTGGGCACCTGGGCCTTGGCATATCTGCTTTCTCCTGAGGGGCAATCTGAAAAGCTTTCAGGGCTAGAAAGACTCAGGAAGCTAAATGGGATGAGCCTCCGTGCAGCCTTCCTCAGAAGTTACCAAACAATGTCCGTCACCTTCATGGCTCCTGGCTCCCTCCTTCCTGTTGAGCAGTAGCCCTATAGTCACCTCTGAATGTCAGCTCCACCT